ATAGCCTATTCCGTGTTTTCCATCTAGTCTGCCTCTAATGCTTCCTACTCAAGGAATTGAAGGTATCTTATTCCCTGATGTTACAGGGGATACTTTTTCCTCCAAAGACTCGATTACTTTCTAGTTGTGACTATGCTAGTGTCAGATGGGGTCGCTGCTGCTCTGCATTTACACGTCTCTGTGCAGTGAACTGGCACAGGTCCTAATTGAACGCCCCCAATCAAGGGCTCAAGACTAAGTCTCATCCACTGAAAAAACGCTCACCACAACAGGCTCATTTTATAGTCTGTGTAATCTTAACAGGAAATACAGATATTTAAAATCTTTTCATTGCCTTTTTTTTCTAATTATAAAACAATATGTATTCCTGGAAAATTCAGTAAGGAAAAAAAATCACAATAAAACAAAATTAATCTAATTTAACATTCTGGGGTATATTTCCTTTTAGTCTTTTTCCAATGTATCACACTGTTTTTTAAAATTGAGATTACATTTTATAATCTGTTCTAGTATTTTTTTCCCACTCAACATATTGTAAACATTTTCTTTGTCAGAATACACTCTAAAAACTTTAATAGTCACTATTTAGATGTTCCATGATTTATTTTGAGTAATCCTCTAACCTTGATGTGCCAGTTGCTTCTGATTTTTCACGGTTGTTTTTTAGAAAAACAAAACATGTAATGACCTTTCTTGGATGCAAATTTGTGCACACTTTTAATTATTTTCCTAGGATAAATTTCTAAAAGTGGAATTGCTGGATCATAGGATATAAATATTTTTCAAGATTTTAAAACATCAACAAATTGTCTGCCCCAAACTACCAATTTCACTGATATCAAGGTACATAATTGCTTTTTCACAGAATATATATGCTTTTCTCCCCCACAACTTCTCCACTGTTTAAAAGTCCCAGTTTAATAGGTAATAAAAAGATACTTTGTTTTCATTTGCATTTATTTAGCTATTGAATTTGGATATTCTTTTACGTCAACTGGTCACTTGTATTTCCTCTTTGGTGGATTATTTTTTCATGTCCTTTGTCCATACTTTTTATTGGGTTGCAGGAATTCTTTGTAACATGTTACAAATTCTTTTTCCCCAGAGACTGGGTATTTTATGAGTGATGTGAGAGGATGCAGCTTGGCATTTTCATAAAACCACTTCCCTAGTGTTACAAGTCTGCCTGTACTCTGTTCATCATGGAGGTTTACAGCTTGAAGGTAGATGCCACAAACCACCCTTTATTTTACTGATAAGGAAGCTAACTCACAAGCAGCCAAAGATTACATATTTAGTTAACAGCAACGTCAGAACCAGTGCCTAGATTGCACAGGTCCATGTGGGCACTATTTCTGCTTCCCACACCAGTTATTGTCAATAGTTAGTTACACGTCTCTGTGCAGTGAACTGGCACAGGTCCTAATTGAACGCCCCCAATCAAGGGCTCAAGACTAAGTCTCATCCACTGAAAAAATGCTCACCACAACAGGCTCATTTTATAGTCTGTGTAATCTTAACAGGAAATACAGATATTTCAATAGTTATTGTCAATAGTTTGTTAGGTATGAGGTCCACTCCCCCATGCACATGGCTAGAAGAACTTTTGAGACATTTAATAATGGCCTTAATATCATCAGAAGCCATCACCATAATCAACTTGTTAGAAATAGCTTTACTAAAAGCCTCAGAGGATGGACCTTTTGTTTATTAAAGATGGATATTATTTGTTAGAGAGTGGATTTTTATTTATTAAAGTGCCATCTTCCCATTGCCAAACCCATAACAACAACAAAAACAAATAGGACTGAGTTGTTTTCAGTTTCTTCTGGTCCCCGCTTCTTCTGTGAAACAGAGATCCATCACCATCACCACCAGCGACAAACACGCCTATTGATGAAAGGCACCATACTTCACCCATTCAGGTAACTACAACTGATATCAGAGGCTAAAATTCAGGTGAATCCTTCCATCAGGACAAAAAGTAGAAATAAGCTGGTGCGCTCATCACATCATGCCTTTAGGCAAGTTCTCCGAAAGGGAGTAAGAGCTGATCTCACTCTCACCCACCCTGCCCCAACACACACACAAGTGTGCAACGGAACCCTACTCTATGTCTCCTCACTGGGATCTCTGAAAAGACACCATTGCTTAGACGTGCTTTCTTCCCCGGGCTCTCCTCCTGCCTTCCTACAGCTTCTTCTCTGTCTCCTTTCTGGAGCTCTTCTTACATTGCCCTTTGGGCCAGTGGGCTCCCTTCCTGGCCCTCTTCCTTTCGTACTTTATAGATTCTCCCTGGTGGCCTCATCCAATCCCTCGTTCAACAATCACCAGTACTCATGAAATCCAAATACTCAGCTCTAACTCAGACATCTCCCCAGAATATCAGACCCTGTAACCCTCACCTGGACATCTCCAGCCCCAGCGGGCCCAGAATAGAAGTCAGACTTCCCTGCTGCTCTGTGCTTCCTAGTCCTCCAAGTCCCACAGACGGGTGTTTTATCAGGCACTATTCATCTTGTACATTCCCTGCACCAGTCCCTAGAACGAGCCATTTCTCCAAGGAGTCCTGGTTCCTTTTAGTTGATAGGGGTATTTAGAAGCCAATATTTGGGTGCTGGGAGTGCTCATTGCTATTTTGGGTGTCACTTTCCCCAGGCCTTCTCAGTGGACAGAGCTAGGGAATGTATGTATATATAAGTACATATGTATACTCATACATACACACACTGATATCTATATCTTTTTACACACACACATATTTCACCTCTTTTGCCTGCTCCCTGCCCTAGGACATACTCCTCACCCAGGAGAAGCTCTGAACCTGTTATCCCTTCTACCTCCCATGAAGATGCCCTCCTCACCCTGCCATGTCACTCCCACCATCCTCACCCTGGCTGGGCTGTCCCCATGTGGCTGACCTCACCTGCTTAGCCTCTAACAACTTACATAAGCCATGGCAAGCTGGGCTGGCTACAGGTAGATACACCATATACTTAATGCCCACCTCCCTCCTTCAAAAACAAATGAACTGTAGGCAGTGTGGCATCTGAATGCAAAAGAGATCCTTGAGAAGAGAGGTCTGACATGTCCAAATGACACTGCAGAGGTGACTTTTGCCTGCGCCTAGGGCTGCTTTGCCTTGAAGCCACACTGTTAGTTAAACTGACAATGAGATGTGTGTTCTAAGCAAAGTAGTGCAGCCCCTCTGAATGGCAGTTGTTTCACATAATTGGCATTTTAATGTATTTCTGGAAAGCTAGGTTGTAAGGAAAGCTAGATATTAAAAAGTGCTTTTCACGGAAGTCTCATGGAAATGCCAAACTGAGACAATGAATCAGCAGAGGAAACAAGCATGGTGGTTTCCATAGATGTTTAAGGATGTGGACTTTCTACTTGAAATCGCTACCTGCATTTCTCTCTCAACAAAAGGGAGAGGAATAGATGGACAGTGGAGTTGGTAGGCAAGCAAAGAGAATCAAAGAAGGCAGAGTGAGTTGTGGTTTTCTCAGCATCACTGAGGTGGAAGGTAGAGAGTTTTATGTGCTACCGTTGATGCTTGCTAATGTTTTCTCTAGAGATCTAAGAAGCAAACACCCCTTCCACATTCCTGTCCAGTTGGACACAGTCCCCCCATGGCCCTGGATTCTGGATCTTAGATTACCCTTAGAAGAAAAAAAGAAAGAAAGAAAGAAAGAAGAAAAAGGAAGGAAGGAAGGGGAAGAAGGGAGGGAGGGAGAGCAGGAGAAGGGAAAGGAAAGGCAAAGAGAAAAGCCAATAAAACTAGGGTTCCAGGGAGGGTCATCTGAAACCTCCTGTTCCTCGGCAACCAGAAAGAGAGCGCGGCCCCCAGGCGGGGTGTGCAGCTCCAGAGGAGAGGGCAGACTGTGTCCCCTGTGTGTGTGCAGCAACCCGGACAAACAGAGACCCATCTGTGAGACGGAATCTCCATGGCAGGTGAGGGAGCTGCTGGGAATGTGCAGAACAGGGGCACATCTGTCCCGGTGGTAAGGCCTCACCCCAGCTTCCTCACACTTAGCCATCTGCACAGAAGCAGAACTTTGTCCCCTCCCACCAAGTACACAGCACGGTCAACTTAGAGCCCTGGTCTCAGGGCACAGGAGGGCAGGGGGTGATTTCGTCCACATCCGGAGATTTGGGTTGTCACAGCTGAGAGGAGGGTTCTACTGTCATCTAGTGGGTGAAGGCTAGGGATGGTGCTAAACATCCTACAATACACACAACAGCTCCCCAAGGCAAAGAATTATCTGGCCCAAAATGTCACAGCACCAAGGTTGAGAAGCCCTGCTCGAGAGGCAGGCTTGCTACCACATTCTCATTGTTGCTTACATAGCAACTGGACAACATCCTATACACGCTTTCTCCCTAAATCACTCCCACCCACCCCGCCTAGGAAATATTGCCCAGATACTCACATCAAAGATCAGTACTGAACAGGAGATTCCTTTCAATACGACATTGCCGCCCGTGGGCTGCACATCTGACTTTAAAAGCATCAGAAGCTGGTACCAATGCTGGGACCCACTAAGAAAAGGCAGAGAAAAACCAATCCAGCCTGCCTCTGTCCATGCCCAGTGCTTCTAGTCAAGCCATTTCCCACAGGAATCGAGAATGGCAACAACCTTTTCAAAACCCAACTACTTATTCATAATATCCAACTAAACTCCCCGGAACACATCCAAGTCCTTCATCAGACCCATGAACTGATCCTAATTTTCTTGCCCCTGTCATGAGTCAAAGAGAAAAAGCTAACACAGAAGTTTCAACCTGAAGTTGAAAAGCAGTGTCTTGGAGACAGTTAACCCGGCAAATAAGCAAATTTTACAAAACAAAGGCAGGAGAGAGAGCTTTCACCAACACACACAGACATAAAACAACCAGCATGGAAAGAGTTGCCCAGGCAATAGCTTTCTGAAGAGAGAAAGTCTTACTCTCGTTGTCAGGGCAGTTGAGCAATAAAAAACAGGGTGCAGACTCACTAGCTCCATTTGCTCAGGGAGGTCATAGGTGGTAGCAAGGAAGCTTCCCCTTCACGTCCTGGGGCACCGCTGCCCCACCGCCCTGCAGGGTCTCCAGTCCCGACATCCCCTCCACGGATGCCTGCAGCCTCCCTTCCTTGAAGAAAGCAGAGCTGCTCTCCCACTGCTGAAAATATTTGAGATGTGCCAAGCAGATGGTCCCACGCTTATCAGCAGAAGCTGTGCTTCAAATGGCATCACTGGGTGACACACTCCAGTGAAAATCTTCATGCTAATATCCACAGTGGGGACAGGCTGGTGACAGTGCGAGTTAGCTGAGCCCCTTGGACAGAGAGGGCCAGCCAGGGCTAAGGAGGAGGGTGACCCAGAGAAATGCTCTATGGAAGGGCAGAATCACATGGGGAGTGGAAAGCCAGACCACTCCCCCTGCAGTCTCAGCCTGTGACTAGCCCTGTGATCTCGGCCAAGCTCCGTAAGACTCAGTTTTCTCACCTGTGAAATGGAGCCAATGGTATTACTGCAAAAACTTGCAATGAGGAAACAAGATGTTATGTAGACACTTGCCCAGTGAGGGACACACTGTTCAGTGATTAAATATCCGTTCCCTTCCTCCAATCCATTCTCAGAGAGTCTCATGCCCACTGGAGTGTATAAGGACAGTGCAATGGAGAAGGCAGAGAGCGCAGGAGCTGGGCTGCAGGGGGTGCGAGGTCAGGGAGCAGCAGTGCCCAGACTATCTCAGCCTGAGGCTAGTCCAGGGAGCAGCTGTTTCCATTAGATGCACATTCTCACTCACCCATGCAGCTGAATTACTTTTTCCCCAATCCGTTCTCCTTTTCAACAGACCCAGCGTAAAGGCCTGCAGGCCAAGCGGGGGAATTCTGGGTCAAGCCCTGCAGTAAAGACCCCCCCAAACCCCCCACTCATGGCAGCGTGAAGTATTCCTTCACAGTTACTGTGTCAGAGTACTAGCGGACCCCTGGGGCTGATGAGGGCAAAACCGGCAAAGAAGGCAGTTTCAGACCGTGTGGGAAAGCCGACCCGGGAGCCCACAGAGCAAGCTCTGCTCAGACTGTTCCCTTAAGCAGCAAGACCAAAGGTGAGCCAGACTGCCCTTGTACGAGGCCTGACCTGAGGCTCTGTCCTCCCTCTGGAGAAAGAGAGGGGGGAAAGGGGGTGTCCCTAAAGGCCGTCAGCCACGGGCAAGGTCAGGTGAAGGGCAGGCCAACTACCAGGTGGGCAGGGGCTAAGCAGCAAATCAAAGACGCAGGTGAACTTGGTCGTGGGAAGCCGCAGTACATTCTCATTACCTGGTTTTGCTGTTCCGGGGGAGAAGGTCAGCCTCCTGAAGAACTTGACATGTCCCAGAGGACAATCAGGACCTGGGAAGGAAGCCTGGACCGTCTAAAGCAAGCTGCAGGGCAGGACAGAAGGAGCACTTGGGGGAAGGGGAGCAGAGACCCGGGAGCAAGTGTGACTAGGAGAGAAGTGACGGGCTGCCTGAGAAGTTTCCAGCACCGCGGTTGGACCAGAAGGGACCCCTGAAGGAGAAGAGGAGGGCAGGGTGGGGCAGAAGAATCTGCTCTGTGTCTCTGCTCCACGTTTGCTGCTTCTCAGAAGCTCAGGGGATGTCCAGATTTTATGAACATTTCACCCTGTCCCTGCGGGGGCTGTGAAACCCTGAGCAGAGTGACCAACTGGAAGGACGACTCCAACGTCATTATTTAAGTCAACACAACAGTGGGCCTCACCAACTTGCTTTTTCCAGCTCCTAACAGAACAGAGAAGTCTGTCCAGACTGGCAGAGAACAACCAGTTGCCCAACTTGGAAACTGATCACTGTCCCAAGGTGAATGAGGAACAAGCCACTGGGAAGCTGGAGTGGCCAGAGGCGAGTAGGTACAGGGAGAGGATCGGGTGGGGGTGAGGGTGGGGTGGGAGGCTACTGGGGGCAGCCTGAAAGAGAGGGCACTCCCTTTCCCCAGACTCAGGGGGCAGTAGAAGTCACCAATTGTTCTGTGACGAATTGGCACCACTAATGAAAGCAGGAACTATTGCAGATGGGGCTGGAGTTTCATTTGTGGTAGATACTGATTTATACTTAGAGAAAATATAGCAACTCTGTAAAAATAAACTGCTTGCATTTAAGCCACAAATAGGTCGGCTATTTCTGTGTCTGGCCTGTCTTTGTGAGTCATCTTTCTCCTCTTGAGAGGAGGGTCTGGCAGAGGGAGGTACATAGAGAGCAGGTAAGAGAACCAGCAGAGCCCGGGGAAGTGAAGCCTGGGATCACCAACGTCCAGTGTGGAAGGAGGTTCTGCTCTCACCTCCATAAGCCAAATGACAGCTTCTAAAGTTCTCTAAAGAAACAACACCCCTTTCTCCATCGAACAAGAAAGCACAGTGGAGGGGGCCTGGGGAAGGCATGACAGGAGGAAGGAAGGAGGAAGCTTAATAACCGTGAAGGCCAAAGAGTGGTCCCGTAAGTGAAGCCCTGACGGTAGACCCATTAAATGGTAAGACCCCTAAGCAGGACCACAAGTGGCAGAATTCCTTTCTTCCATCAGGAGTTTACCCTCAGCTCCCAGACCCCCTCAGTGCCATGGGGACATTGCTCAGTGCTAAACCCGGGCACACCAGGGATTCCAGTCACATCCTAGAATGTATTCTTCACCTGGAAGCAACTCTGCTTTACCTGTACAATCACAGGGAGAGAGAGCCACCAGTTTTTGCCAAAAGCCCAGCATCCCCTTAGAGTTAGAAAGATGCACGAGTGTAGAACAGCAAGGGGCTGGGCTGCCACTGTGGACCGAATGGCAATAGGTGGCACAGGCTGGGGGTGTTCATTTTCACAGGAGGGTGACAGGCCCCAAAGTCAGGGTGGAAACAGTAGATCCTCAGAAGGGCAGACAACGAATTTGGCACAAATTGTCTTGGTTCACCGTCTGGGAACAGAGCAACTTCAGGTATGCTAGAGATTTGGATTTGCAAACTTGACTGGAGTCCTGAGTGATTCTTCAGCCCATCCGTTTGACTGACAGGGTCTCAGAGCTGGGCTAGCCCCACCCCCTGCCCTCCAGTCCTGCAAAAGGGACTTCAGATCCCACCGGCCAGATAAAGATCCAAGATAAAACCCTGAGAACAGAACTCTCCCAGGCTGCTCTGAATGCCATCAGCCTCGGGGCATCCTTCCCAGCCTTCTCGCAGCCCACCCTGGCCCGCGTGGTTGGGTTGCTCCCAAGTAGTCATCTTTACTCTCAGTGCACATTTCTTAGACATCAGATCTTACAGAGAAATGGCATTTCCTCCCTCACATCATTTGTTTTCCTCCACATGGTGGGGCAGAAGCCACAGCAAGTACCACAACAGTGGAAACAAACCTACGGGCAAGTGAGGGAGGCAGTCCCCCCGGACAAACCCTGGGAAGGGTCCCAACAGCCCACAGCTGCCGAGTGGACTCAGCGTGGGAGGCCAGGTCTCCAGCCCTGAGTGTCCCCCGACCTTCCCCTGGCATTCAAAATGTGCCAGAAAGGAGACTCGTCAGGCCCAGCACCAGCCCCTTTGCAGAATGATGAGAAGAGTGTAAAGTGACCCCAAATGAGGCGAGTGGTCTGTGTGGAGGGGCACAGGGAACCGCGGTGTGGCGGCTATCTGTACAGACGCAAAGTTTGGGTAGGCTCCTTAATTTTAATAGGTGGAATGTCCCCATGTCCTCCAAATTGGCACCTAATCAGCTGCCCAGACATTTTGTTCTCTAGATTCCTTACCTAGATTGTAATCACGTGCTCTCCCTTATCCAAACATCATGAAAAACTCCAGTTGTGAGAAAGAATATTTTTGGAGCATTGCCTTGGGACATGGAGTCTATCCATTTCTCTAGATGTTCTAAATATTACCCTGGGCTCAGCCCTGCATAGTTGGCCAGCACTGTCTTGGCCCTTCAAAAAATTGTAATTTCTAAGTTATCCTTTAGAGATATTCATCAGCGAGCAGTTTAGAGGCGCTATAAATAAGGAAATGTAAGAAGATCAAAACCGTGCTCCTGTAGGAACTGGCCAGCACCCTTCCCACCGCACCTCCAGTCTCCCGGTGGAGATCTCTGCCTCAGGAGTAGCTGGGTTTCTCCTGAGTAGCAGCCAATTTGTCAGTAGAATACCATAAAGTGTGTAACTGGTTTTTTTTCATTTCCTACTAGAAAGCCTGAAGACACATATTTGACCTCTGTTTGCAAATGGACCACATGGCTACTTCAAAGAAAAGTATCTGAAACTACTAATTTAGTCAAAGGGCATTATAGGCACCATTAAACTTGTATTCATTGTCATTTTTCTGCCAGTTACTGTGGATTTTGGCAAACAATGTCTTTTTTTTTCAGCTACAATATCCTCAAAGAGACTGAAAAAATTTCCCCTGCAAATGGTAGTAACTCACATACTGGGACCCGTGCAAGAAGCTAACTGAAATAGCAGTCACCCTGGGTCTGTGCAGAAAAGGGTCCTCTAAATTCTGAGAGCACTTACCATACGATTACAGTTAACCTGTTAATGTGCCTGTTTTCCGCACCAACCTTAGCTCACTGAGGCAGAGGCAATGCCTTATTCATTTAGTGCTGGCTGAGCCAAAAAATAGGGACCCTGGGAAGGTGTCCTGGGACACCTGGGACCCTGGGACAGGGTGAAACATGGTGTATACATCAACCATGTTGAAACATTGGTGGTTTTATCATTGTTTCTTGAGTTAGTCCACTTTCCCCAGTTAGACTGTAGGTTATGTGGGGAAGGAACCACATGTGCACTTCCTCATGTGGCCTCACATGGAGCCGAGAACCCGAGGTGCTGAACGCTTGGAGATGGTTTGACAAATACCTGGCTTCCCATAACTGATAGTAAACATACTTATTTTGCTGAGACAATCTGTCTCCATTGATTCTAAAAAGTTCTAGAAAGTTCCAGAAAAGGAAGTTTCTAGGATCAGAAGTCTTTCCTGACAGACTCCACAGGCACAGATCCTCCCACACCGTGTTCTCCTGTACCCGGTGCATACGTCGTTGAGCTCAGGCCACCCGCCTTGCTAGAGACTGAGTTTGAGGGTTTTCTCCACAAACTCCTCATCAGGGGGCCTTGCAGCAGGTGACACCTGCCAGCCTGCTCTCACCAG